GGACTGGCCTTCCAATAGTCCAGACTTAAATCCAATCGAAAACCTTTGGGCTATTGTCAAAAGAAATGTAGAAATGCGTATGCCTCAAAATCTTTCAGAATTAGAACAGTACATGACAGAATAATGGGATAAAATCCCAAATAATATTCTAATCAACCTTGTCAGCTCAATGAGAAGGAGATGTGAGATGATAATTGAGAACAATGGCGAGAGAATAAACTATTAACTTTATATCAATAAAAACTTCAGATTTTAAGCTTTATTTTGACATATTTTTCATTCATTTTTATGTGGTGACTTTTGAGCTATGGACAAATAAAAAATTCCAAAAAGTTTTGTTACATGCTGTATATATACATGAAATTAATATGTATAATGTTTAATAAATAAAGCTTTGACATTAAACCAATTATTGTAATTGGAAAATTTTGTTTTTTGAAAAAAAATAAATAAAACTAAACTATAAATGTAAAAAAAACCTGACTGCTACTTTTTTTTCACCCCAAGGAACCAATATTTTTTGAATCAAAAAGTGTGTTTATTTTATTTGAAAACTTTACAAAGTAAAAACGTTATTTTGTTATATAAAATTTTGAATTTTATGAATTTTGAGGGAGGACAGTTTTGGTTTTGTGAAATCATAGCGTGTAACATTCGTATTGAACCCCCTAACCCCTAGGTAATAAATTGGTCAGCCTCAACTATATGTAAAAAATTAGTATTAAAAATAAAGATTTGTATTATTAACAAAGTTCAAACTTGTGGAATGGCTTTAAACCACATAACTTCCATAAACACATAGATATATTTATGCATTTTTTAGAAAGGTTATTTATTGTTATTGTTATTGTTATTATTATTATTATTATAATTAGATATTTATTAATAAAGTTTAACTTACTCAAAAATTAACTTATTAACACCTATCTATACTACATGTTTATGATCTATTAAACTAATTGCTTAGTTTTTATTTTATACATATGCGCTGATTTTGTTTGAACCCCAAAATCCACTACAGTGTGATCATAACGTTATGAATACTTTATACTAGCAAAAACCCATTGGTTTTGAGGTGGGGTCACTGGTTTGACAGGTTGATGGATAGTAAATTAGTTTTTTTAGCGGAGCAAATAATTTTTTTTAGGGTAATTATCATTCTACCGACCAGTTTACACATTAAAAATACTCGTATTTAACATCGAGACACAATAAGACATAGGTTTGAAAAAAGGCCCAAAAAACCGAATCGGCTGATATGAGAGATGAGTGAGATTTTTTCATATGCAACTTATTAAAAATAACAACAAAAATGAGGGTATAATTATTTTTAAACGGAATTTCTATATTATTCAACTATTCATAATTAATTTTAGTATTTAATCATATCAAATCATTGATTGAACTTTTATTCCAATAAAATTATTTCGAAACTCCGAAACTGTTTTTAAAATTCCAAACTATATTAAAACATCGAAATCATTTCAAATTTCCAAAAACAAAATGTGTAATTAGATTTTTTTCAAAAATGAAACCGAAAATAAAAATTTGTCACGTGATGGAATGTGAAGGATGTTTTTTGCGATTCATAGACGGATTGTCAATTAAGTATTTAGTCACGCTGGTGAATGAATACCTTTGTGAAAAAATTAAATATATCCTTAAAGAAATTGTGTAATTAATAAGTTTATTGTGTCCATTGCTGTCTGATGATAGAGCGAATTTTTAAAAAAAACAAATGATTCATTTCATACTAAATATTTGATGTGTTGCATTCAGCACATAATTTCCCCCCAAAAAAAAAATGATTAAATATTGTAAAAAATCATACCGTCCTATCTTTGTTTTGTAATATCCATGAAAGATGGAGGTCATATCTGTACATGTCTTGAGATAGTAACAAAAGGTTTTATATGTCATCATTTCTTGCATCATACTATACAATTAATATCTCTAATAAAAAGTCATTTGTGTTGTGATTATATTTTTGATAAATTAGAAAATGCACTAAATTATACATGAAATTGAAATAAAAGGTCAAAAGTCAAATTAAAAGTCAAAATGGTTGAAATTACATCCATATGCGCTGATTTTGTTTGAACCCAAAATCCAGTACAGTATGATCATAATGTTATGAATACTTTATACTAGCAAAAACCCATTGGTTTTGAGGTGGGCCATTGGTTTGACGGGTTGATGGATAGTAAATTAATTTTTTTAGCGGAGCAAATAATTTTTTTTAGGGTAATTATCATTCTACCGACCAGTTTACACATTAAAAATACTCGTATTTAACATCGAGACACAATAAGACATAGGTTTGAAAAAAGGCCCAAAAAACCGAATCGGCTGATATGAGAGATGAGTGAGATTTTTTCATATGCAACTTATTAAAAATAACAACAAAAATGAGGGTATAATTATTTTTAAACGGAATTTCTATATTATTCAACTATTCATAATTAATTTTAGTATTTAATCATATCAAATCATTGATTGAACTTTTATTCCAATAAAATTATTTCGAAACTCCGAAACTGTTTTTAAAATTCCAAACTATATTAAAACATCGAAATCATTTCAAATTTCCAAAAACAAAATGTGTAATTAGATTTTTTTCAAAAATGAAACCGAAAATAAAAATTTGTCACGTGATGGAATGTGAAGGATGTTTTTTGCGATTCATAGACGGATTGTCAATTAAGTATTTAGTCACGCTGGTGAATGAATACCTTTGTGAAAAAATTAAATATATCCTTAAAGAAATTGTGTAATTAATAAGTTTATTGTGTCCATTGCTGTCTGATGATAGAGCGAATTTTTAAAAAAAACAAATGATTCATTTCATACTAAATATTTGATGTGTTGCATTCAGCACATAATTTCCCCCCAAAAAAAAAATGATTAAATATTGTAAAAAATCATACCGTCCTAGAGAACTACTCGATCAATTGATTAAAGAAAAGGATATTGAAGGAAGTGGCTTAAAACTTTGATCAAGACAAGATGAATTAGTATATATGGACGTTTAGCATCAGTTTTACAATTGAAATCTTACCTAGAAGAAATTATAGAGAACATAAATAAAACTTTATACATGGACTTCTAATAAACTCCATTATCCCCACAGACTCCCATGCCATATGTGATGACTTTTAGAGGTATCGAGGTCGATTTAAGGGGTATTTGACAAGAAGTGGTGTCTATAGAGTAGACTGACGTTAAATATCATTCAAAATTGACCTCACTACTACTTCTGATGGAGAGCTTTTTTACTACATAAATTTATTGCATAAATAGCAAAAAATAATTATTTCAAATTAATTAATTTAAAGAATTGAATGGATTAGAATGGCATCCAACTTGGTCAAATTGTGATTAGCGTATTACTTTTCAACATCTGAATAAATAAATTCATTTTCAAAATATTGTGAGCCATTATAAATACACGAGTATGAGAACTGGAAATCATTAATAAATTTCTTTTAAGTAATCATCAGTGATAATTTTCTTTTGTCATCATGATTACAACAACAAAAAGAACTCTTGATCATCACTGGAAATTTGGGTATAAATAAATCAATTTCTTAAATTCTTAAGATTTTCCGCAGAGATCGTAAATCAATTTGAGAGATTTTAATTTGAAACTCCAAAAAATGTCATTATTAACACATGTAATTAAAGCTCTTGAAAAGATAGCACCATTATCATTAGCACATACAAAATGGGATAATGTAGGTCTACTAGTTGAACCACCATATCCACGTTCTTCAGCCACAAGTGTATTTCTCACCATAGATTTAACACCCATAGTTCTTGAGGAAGCCATTTCGACTCCTAGTGTTGGAATGATAGTGGCTTATCATCCACCGATATTTCATGCTTTTAAACAATTAAATTTGAATGATACGAAACAAAGCATTGTTTTAAAATGTATTGCGGAAGGAATTAGTGTTTATAGTCCTCATACTGCTATTGATTGTAGTGTTGGTGGAGGTAATAAATTTAGGAAGTTTTATTAATTGATTTAATTAATTGATTGATTTTTTGTTGATTTTTATTTTTTGTGCTTGGAAAAAGTAAATGATTGGTTAGCTAAAGGACTTGGATCAGGAACATCTATATCTTTAATGCCTAGTGAAAATCCACCTGCAGGTATATATATCAATTTATTCATGTATACATGTATAATATATATGAATACTTATTATTAATAATGCCATTATCATTGTTGTTGTTACAGGACATGAGGAAGCAGGGGCAGGTAGACTTTTCACATTAGAAGAACCAGTGTCATTATCAACTATGGTTAAACGAATTAAAAATCATCTGAAGTTAAAGCATGGTAAATATAAATCAATAATTGATAAATATGATGATAAAGATAACAACAATGATTTAGGGAATTGATATTAAAAAAGAATAATTATGCTGAAAAAAATCTATTCAACTATTCATAATATTTATATAATTATTATTAGTAAGAGTTGCTACAGCTGAAAAGCATAGACATAATGATGGATTAATTTCAACAATTGGAATTTGCGCAGGATCTGGTAATTATAAATAAATAAATAATATATATACACATTATAAAATTTTATGAATAAAATTTTTATTCTACATTATTTCAAAATTCACTCTCTCAAACTAAAGGTGTTTCAGTGCTATCACCAGCAAAGGCAGATTTATATTTTACAGGAGAGATGTCACACCATGAAGTATTAGCAGCTTTGGCAAAAGATACCAGTGTGATTTTATGTAAATATTAATTAATTATTTATTTTTTATTTATTTATTTCTAAAATTTAAATGATCTTTTCCCTCTAAAAAAAATAAAGGTGAGCATACAAATACTGAGAGAGGATATCTTTCCGAAGTATTAAAACCCAAACTAGAAAAGTTGTTAAAAGAAGATGGTGATAATCAAAAAGTGGACATATTGGTAAGTCAATCAGACAAAGATCCTTTGGAAATCATTTAACTTAAAAAATTTTGCAATGTAAATTAAATTCATTCATGTCAAGAAAGGTCATAATATTTGTTTATTAACCAAAATCATTATTGCAAAAATTAATTAAAAATTCAAATTTGATTTATTAAAAAATTTAATATTTCCTTTTTTTTATTGTTGTTATTAATAATGATTTCTTATGCTTTAATGGTATATTTACGTTGTGGAAAATGAATTGCTTTAATATGAGCACTAGTTTTAAAAAAGTGTTTTTTGTAAATAAAAAATATTAATTTTTAAAAATTTTCTTAAATCAAAAGTGTAATAATGATTACCGTCTAGTTTTCTTTGAAGCTTCATTCTAATTGATGTAAAAAAAAGTATTAATGTTTTTAATGATGCTTTTTTAGCTCCCCACAATAAAATAATATAACAACTTACTTTAGTCAACTTTCTACGAATTGCACGGGTTTTCTTTGGTCTAAGATCAAGGGGTTTATATTTTTTACCCTTATAAAAAAGTCGAATTTGTGCGCGTTGTGTTTGTGAAATAACTGTATTTACTCTTGCAACGGATTTGCGAACTTCTCGACTATAGATGAACAAGTAAGTGGGCAAGTGGAAATGATTAATAATAATTGATTTGATTGATATACAAATATATTTAAAATTTTTTTACAAACATCTTTGTTAATTTTGATGCAGCACCTCCAGCTATCTTTTGTACTTTCAGACTAACAAGTTCTTGTTTAAGATCATTGAGTTGTTTTGTTAATACAGTCTTGTGACTATTACGAATTTTATAAGCTTTTACTGATGCCTTTTGTTTTTTTTAGAAAACATTTATACTTGCATTTATCAACATAATAAATTATTTGTGCAAAAGCATACGCGCACATGTATATAATATAGGTATTTACCATGATTTAATTGATTTAATTGATTGATTAATTGGTTGATTGACTGGGAAGATAAATGATATAAATAAATGTGAATGTAGATCAACATCGAACTAATTGACCAATCATAATTCAGCATATATACAAAAATTTAAATATAGTGCAAGTCACTTAGTAGTCGCGGGACATTGCAGATCAAGTGTCATTCAATATAAACGTTACACAAAAAAATTTATTGTCGTCCACTTCAAAAAAAAAATCTCCATTTTTCATATAACAAGCAATTTTCGACCATGATAAAATTTTTAGAGCCAGACTGGAACTTT